CCACCCTTTTTCTTCCATCCTTCTTTATTAATAGTAGATGAAGCCAAAACATTACTATGTTGATGACACTTTATTATGGCAGAATTAAGAATTCACACCTAGAAACAAAGCATCATTAGATAATTGTATTCCTTGTACATGTAGTAAGTCAACTCATCTTCGTAATAACTTGTGCCCATCAACCAACACATCACGGTAATTAGATAAGCATATCCAAGGTAGCACCATGTCATCCCACACCCAAAGGATCTCAATTGAGAAATCATGTATTGTTCTTCAAGGAGAGTATGAAGGCCGTAAAGAGAAAACTTCAATATAAGATTCCACAATAGCCTGTAAGTCGCACGAGGAGTTATCATATTACCCCTGCTCGTAACATTCATTTTAACGCTGCTTAGATACTCCCAATCATACAATTTCACAAGTAAACAAAAAAAAATTCTAATTTCTTCAAACAATGCACTTGCCTCTACGTTCTTATTAGAACTTGTTAGAATTTGGAACTCGGAACTGATTCCGGGATCCCATACATAGAGATTTGATGCAATTATCTGAACATGAACAATGAAGGTAGTCGTTACAAGATTTAACAATAGATTACCTTCATCATGTTCTTCTCCCCCATAAGAGAGATTTGATGCAATTACCTGAACATGAACAACGAAGGTAGTCGCACCAAGGTTTAACAATAGATTACTTTCATCATGTTCTTCTCCCCCATGAGATTTGCCACACTCCGCATCAGGTATCATTTCGTCATCAGAAATTGCACCTTTCAAGGGCTCAATTTCATGAGTGTGTTGAGGTACTTCAAAAGCTTATGCAGTAGGAAGTTATGAAATGTTGGAGAAGGCTTTGAAATTTGTCTATAGTGTGGTGCTAAGGATGTATGGTATATGCACAAGTATTTACTTGATCTTAATTTGTTATTTTAGCATCTATATATAATGTATCATGCGTTCTTTCTCCTTCCTAGCTTTTATTATTATGATGCAAATTGCATTGTTCTAATGTCCTATGTGGCACAAATACGGGTTCCATGCTGGTACCGAATACCAAATGAGATACCCAAAAACTTTCTTTCAATATACCAAACATTCTTATTATATTTATCTTTTTAAAACAAAGTATTGTTCTATAAATCACTATGATAATATGATATTAGAAAATATAATTGGCACCATATTAATAAAATACGATTCAAATTTATAAAGAAGTGTCCATACATGTCTGTTAGAAAATGCCAGTGTCCCAAGGAGTCCAACTTTAAAGGCACAATCACCATAGAGATCATCAATAACATTTTTTTAGAACATATTGTCATTTACTGCGGATGCAAGAAACAACCAAATTGCTCAAAAGTGCAGTCCATATGGTTGATGCCATGAACTTAGCATTCCAACTCTCGATTCCTGAAGTCGGACAGTAGGCACCATGCAGGGAAGTATGACATGTCCAAGTTAGCTGGGCCGTCTTAATAAGATTGTGGGCCTCAAACGAAACTTAAGAGAGGAGCCCTAATATTTTATTTTTGTATAACTTACATAAATCTCATAGTGTAAGAAGTAAATTATATTTTATTCCTACTTTTTTTCTAATTATAATAATCCCTTAATTTTTACACAATCTGGATACATTAATGTTGATACATTATGTATCAAGCTGTTACGCTGAAAAAGGAAAAAAAATCAGAAAATCCAATTAAAATCCCATATATTACGATTACACGTTTTTTCTTATTGTGAATCAGTCATACACAAATCTTAACAGAACCAACAAATTCGAAAAAAAAATCAAATTTCTTCTCACTATTCATCTTTCTCCATGTTCATCAAAGAACCATTCAAATTAAATTCAAATTTGCCAAAAATTTGATAAGTTACATAATGAATAGTTGTTGGACAAACAATTTCTTTTGTGAGTCTCAAATTTAGAATTGCAGGAGATCATGAGATGAGAAAAACTTGAAAATTTGATATATAGTAGAAAAAAATCACGGGAAAGTGTTATTGACAATGGGATTCAGGCAAATTGTAACAGGCTAGCACAATTCAAAATTCAAAATTGTTCTTCCCATTCTTCCAAAAACTCTCAATTATTGAATCAAAATTGTCGATAAAAAATCGAGATACATTACATATTAAGACAACATTCTTCTTCCTATTCTTCCAAAAAAACTCTCAATTATCGACAACATTCTTCTTTCCATTCTTTCAAAAAACTCTCAATTTTTGAATCAAAATTTCGAGATACATTGGAGATCTGATACATCGTTGAAGTGAAGAAACAAAAGTCTGAATTTTCAATGTATCCGCTATGGATTAATACAACATACAAAAAAGCTGAAGAGATACATAGCTTCCATGGATCATCAATCCCTTTTATAATGTTGTGTGATTGTTTATTGAATTGTGTTTTCGAGATGTATAGATTTGTCAATACATTACTATTTATGTATCTTGTTTAAACTGATAAGTGTTGTATTTCTACTAGATACATTAGATAAGTAATTGTTGGCCATAACATGTTAGGTTTGAGATCGATACATTATTGTTTGGTAATTGCTATGTATCAGATACATTTAGTATAAATTTGAATTTACGTATCATACCTAACAAATTAGTGCATGATACATTATTATTTATGTATTTTATTTTGTTTGAGAAATACTATATTTTAAAATTTTAAAAAATACATTATACATGTAATTGTTCCAAAACATCTTCTTTTTTTGTGTCTCTGATACATAACACAAAATTTATGTATCAAATACATTTATATTGAACATGATAAACACTAATTGAAGATTCAACAACATTAGAGTTATGTATCAATAACTTAAATATGAACATGATACATTGCATAAAACAAAGGCTATGATCAGTGATAACACTAACAAAGATTAATTTAAGAATCATAAGAAACGAGATACATTAAAAATATGTATCTTTGGTAGTGATGACCGTGCAATGGTAGTTCCAACTTTTTTGGGCGTTTTTCAACAATAGATACATTAGAAGAAAATAAATATTTTTCAAGAAAAATTTTCAACTACGATATGCTTAACTAAAATTGCAAAGGTTTATTAAGATTTCAATGGGGCAGGGGGGGAGGTAATTTAAAAAAATTTAAGATGAAAAACTAAAAGAAATCGAAAACTGAAATGATAGAAAGAAATCTTCTCTTGAATAACTTGACATCATTAATTGGAAAGAGAAAAGATTTGAAATTCAAAAATGGATTAATGGATGTAATTATAGAGAGATTTATGGCATGAAAAAAGGAAGGAAAATCATGGGAATGAGATTTTAAATTAATGTATCCAGAAAAGGGGATGATGGGAGCAAAAGAAGGGATTTTTGATATTTTTAAAAATGGTAGGGAAAATAAGAAAATATATAATAAAGGGTGCGTAGTTAAGTAATTTTTCCTTTATTTTTTCATTATTTACTATTTTATAATTGATTTGTTTTAATAAGAGAAACAAGTCTGAAAAATACTCCAACTTTATGGAGGACCTTTTACCCCCTACACTATTTAATAGTGTATTTTAAAGGTATATATTTGCTCACGTAGACACATTACTATTTATAATGATGCAATATTTATGATGTCCACGTGGACACATATATACCTTTAAAATACACTATTAAATACTGCAAGGGGTAAAAGGTCATTTACAAATTTCGGTATTGTTACAACAATTTTAGTCAAAGTTTGGATATATTTCAAACCTTTTACCCTTTTAATAATTATTTTTCAATTGATAATACATATAGCTAATTCATTCAATCTCTCTTGAGACATTGTTGATCTTAAATAAGATTTAATCAATTTTAGTTTTGAAAAACTTCTTTCGGCTAAGGCAACTGTTACAGGAACATTACTTTATAAGCAATATGTGTATTTGAAAAAGAATCAAGTCTTTTTATTTGATTGAGTATTTTCATTAAATCATTATCTTCTACTTGTGTTGTTTCTCTTAACACTTTTAATTCAAAAAATAAATCTAAATAATTAATATCAGAATAACTATTACTTATGTGTTAAAAAAAGTTTAAGGTTAAGATAATGTTTTTAAAAAATCTCAGCATCTAGTGATCTCAATTTACCACTAAATAAGAAACCAAAAATACTTTCATATGCTTCAATTGGTTCAATTCTATTTTGAACTGAAAAAATAGATTGGTCTACTATTTTCATCAAACTGTTTCTTACAACATCCTGGTTCTATATTCATGTTATATGCAATTTCCTTACTATAAATCATAGCACTCATAGTACATTATTTTTTTTAAAAAAAATAACATTTATAAGTATTTTTTTTTAAAATGGGGCCCCTAAAAATATGCGGCCTGACTTTAGTGGCCTAGAGGTTGAAACCCCTTGCAAGTTAGCATACATGAACTAGGATCAAAGGGAAAGTCTAATCCAACTAAGAACAGCTCAAGCGAGTTTCAGGTTGGGAAGGCGGGCAGAAAAGGCAAACAATTCTGAGATGGTGAGCTGCGAAAGGCAAGAATCATGTTGAGGGACATAAGTTGAGAGCTTGCGGAAAGACAGAGGATTGGGAAGAGCAAGAGAGTTTAAGAGAAGAGTGCCACTTGTAGGCGAAGTTTCAGCTGCTAAAATGTCGAGCAATGAGGATTTTCGCGCACCAACAATGGCAAGAATCTTACAAGGATAAGCAGTGTCTTTCAAGAGATTAATTAATCGGTGGAGTTTGAGGAGAAGACATGAGTGATTTAATGTCTTTCAGGTCAGGACATTGTTTGCCCTTTTCCAAAAGAGAAATATAGAAAATGACTTTAACCAGGGAAATACATTTTGGCATTGTAAACAGGATAGATTTTCAAACATAAAAAAGTGAATAATGTAAGAGAAACTGTCCATAGGGATGATGTCTCAATATAATGGCAACTAAGCAAAACACAAGTTTTATACTGCATCAACATTCAGTTTGTTCTATCTCTTAATCTCAACATCCAACATGATGGTATTTATACTTGTTTAAGGAAAATTTCTGCTTTAGGTGATGCACACTCAAATTCTGCTAGCTTAGCAAGTGTTTTGACTATTGCAGATTTTCCCAAAAACCTATGGGGACTGATTACCATCCTCACTAGCGCCGGAGACATGGCTAACAAAAGCTTGATAAGTTGCATCTCCCGTATACTGACATTAGCTTCTCTTAGCTTGACTTCCCTTAGGTGTTTGAATATCACATATGGAAAAGCTTCCAATTCAAGACATTCTAGAGCCGGCATATTCTTCTTAAAATTGTGCTCCATCTAAGAAAGACATATCAAAACTCAACTACATAAGCTTATTGATGATTTGAGTAGGAAAAAAAGAAAAAAAAAAGAGAGAACCTGAATTTCCAGATATTGTAAAAATGGGAAGCTTCTTATCAAGGAAAGAGGACACAGAATCTCATCCCTGTCAAGATAAATACACATGCAAAGATGTTTGACACACATCAGATCAAACGGAAGCTTTTTCGGTATTTCTTGGCCTTTAGCAATGACCTAGGAAGAACAAGCAAAAAATAAGGATAACTCAAAGGGCAAATAATGTGTAACTACAGAAAATGAAATAGAATGAGTTATGAAGCAACATTTACCCCGTAATCCAAGTGAAGATACTCGAGATCGGAACAAGACTCAAAAAAATTTGATGTTAGAAAATTTGCAACATCAAACTCCTTCCAGTCCTTACGATAATACCTGAGAGAAAGTTTTGCCAAACGAGGGACACATTTAAAGCAGATAGTTTCCATATCGCCGGTGAAGTCACAAGATCTCAGCATTGGAGCATTAATTTCAATGATGTCGCTTAACGTATCTGAGATCTTTAGCACCAATTGCTCAAGCAACAAGCAATTAGAAATTAAACTTTCAAGCAACTTGGAAGAAATGGTAACCTCATGTAGTTCTAAGCTAATTAACCTATCAAATCCTTTGAAGTCTGGTGGTGGAAGTAACAAACAGTTTTGGAGAAACAGATGCCTCAAATTCAAACATGTGAAAAATGAAGGCGGCAATTTGAATTGTCTCGGAAGTCTAAGAACAAGATGCTGGATTCTGTTTCGAGAGAGGAAATATAATAAGTTGTCAATAGGAGGGTAGCTTTCCCAATACTGAATGCAAAGGGTAAACTTTGTAACTGGTCCGGAATGACGGGTGATAATGTTGTGGATAGTCGTTGTAAAGTTACTCGTAAGGTCCTTAGTAGCTCTTTTATCACCTGTGAGGTATTGTATATCCTTTTTAGGTTTCCAAAGGTCGGAATCAAGCGTCAGTTGTGGAAGTCTACACCAATGTTTTCTCCATTCCTTTGACAAAATGCTTGTGCAGACAGCATCTCGAAAAGGCAAACGCATAAGAATCTCATCAATTACATTATTAGGGACTTTGCTGAGAACATCAGGACAAGATTGCTTTGGATCCATCATAGAGCAAGATTTGTCTGTAAAACAAAAACAAGTATGAAAAGACAAAAGAGAAATCTCCAAGAAAATCAGTGTTCACACTATCTGATCCAACAATTCAAAAGTAAAACTCAGTGTTCACATTGTCAAATTATGAAGCCCCAACTGTAATCTAATCCAAGATTTTTACAAAAAAAAATAAAGCTTTAATCAGAACACCCAAAATTGGCTAACAACTAAAAATAAAGAGAAATGTACCTTAACACCAAAATGAAATTAGTGAATAAACCTAAAATTTCTTGACTGAATGCATTTCAACACCAAACAGAACACCCAAAATTAGCAAGCCTCACGAATTGATGAATAGAATCCAACAAGTAGTGAGATTTTTATAAAAATAAGCTTTAATCAGAAAACCCAAATTACTCACTTGAGAGAAAGAAATGATAGAACGAAAGAGAAAACCCAAATTACTGTTCACATTGTCATGAAGAATTGGCATGAAAACATCAAACGAAAGAGAAAACGATCGAACAAGGATGAAAAAAAATGAAGAATATGTTCACATTGTCATCTAATCCTAGAATTGGTGAACAGAAACAAGATGAAAATTCATGATTTATACAAAAAAAGAGCTTTAATCACAACACCCAAACTAGAAACTGAATGTATTTCAACATGAGAGAAAGAAATGATAGAAAAACGAAGGATTAGCTTACTTTTTCAGAGGAAATTAGCTTCTTCTTCTTTGTTTCTTGATTGTGCCTCAAGTCTTCAGCGGGATTACTCTTCAATTTAATTTTTTGTTCATTTAGTTCAAACCAAATTATTTATATACATTCATAATAATAATAATAATAATAATAATAATAATAATAATAATAAGAGTAAATTATTTAACAGAGGCGTATCCAGGATTTTGAGATGATGAGTGCACTATTACAAAAAGGTGGATCTAAGATATAAATTTGATTGATTTAACATTTAGGTTTTTATCACTAAAGATAATTAAAATTTTAAAATTATAGGTCCAAAGTTATTTTTACCTATCCAAACCACTTAGAGAGACATTACCCAATTTTAAAAAGGAAAATAAAACAAGATAACTAAAAGATTCAAATTTCTAACCTCACTTAGAGAGGTGCACCCAACATAATCGCACGGTATAATACTTTAAGTGTGGGTTCACATATCTATATTTAAATATTTTTAAAAAATATAATACTACTATATATGATTTCAGGAGGGGAGCATGGGTTCACGTGAACCCGGTGACCCCCTCCTGGATACGCCTCTGAGTAAATACATCAACCTCGCTCCAAACTTTGCAGTAAAATTTATTTTAACATTTTAACTTTAAATATATATTTTTTTACCCCTAATCTCATTTGAAGTGAATTTAATTCACCCTAAGATTATAATATCAGTCTCATAGTGAAAAGTGCATTTCACAGGCGTCATGTCGTGCCACATTAAAAATTATTCAAATTTTGAATTTTATTTTTTTTTATTTTTTTATTTCATTTTATTTATTCACAATTTTAGAAAGAAAAAAAAATAGGAAAAAGATTGTGGATTAATCTAAGATTTTAAAAAATATATAAAATCAAATTATATATATAGTCGATTCTCAAAATAATTCTCACAAAAAAATGCATTCAATCTTTAGATGGTGTAAAAAAAACCAAAAATATATAATTTGAGATGAAGAAATTGAAGATTTTTCATTAAAAAAATTATATTAAAAAGACTTCTTTAGCTATAGACATAGCCATGGAAATGAAGAGAAAGAAGAAGAAAGGAAGATCATCTTTAGTAGATCTCAACAAAGGAAAAATAATTAATAATAATAAGCCTTTTTTTGTTCATCGTTCTTCTCGCTGAAACTGTAATTTTGAGTCGAATTCTCCGTCACCGGAGTTTGAGGAAGAAGACGAAGATGAGGATGGGAGGAAACAAAAGAAAGTCAAACTCGTAGTTCATTTACCTCGGGAATCGAATTAGAACCAATATTTGGAGAATTTATCTTCTAATGTTGATTCAGAATTTGAATTGGGCGTTAATTACGAGGTGTCTGTTGAAACAAGGAAAATCAGCTTCGTTGATCATAGATCTGACGATGCCATTTTTCATCAGGGAGGTTTCGAAGAAACGCCATTTTTCAATGTATCGAACTTAAAATATGGTACAAAATTCTTAATTAATGAATATATACACAATTATTTAAAAGTATAGAAAATTAGTATAATGGTATGAATGTATTTCTAATAAGATAGTTTTTCAAAAAGAAAAAAATAGTACTAATATTATAAGGTATTAAAATTATAAAAGAATAAATAAAGCAATTAAAATTTAGTAAAAATTATATTGGACGAATTGAGTTATAATCTGCATTTTGAATCATTTCAGCCGAACTAAACTTCTAAGGAAACAACACAAATCACGCTACTTTAGGTCGTAATTACATCTAGTCACTAAAGTATAACAAATTACCTCCCGTACTTTTGTTTGTCAAATACATGTATCTGACGGGCTCAAATATATGTATCTGATGGGATCAAATACATGTATCTCGAATACATATGGTGGTCAAATTAGGTGTAATTTGTTCTAGATACTTTGTATCCAAACGTGATTTGCATGTGTAAGAGATACACTAACTCTATCTCTCACCTTTCTCCTATCTCTCACTTCTCTCTTATATCGTTCACCTCTCTCCCTATGTATTTGTATTTCAGTATGTATTTGAGTTTTACAAATTTTATATATATGTGTATCTAATATCAATTTTTGGTATTTGTGAATCCAAAAACAACTTCATCTAGTATATTTGATATCAATTCATCAGTAAATCTAATGTCAAATATTTAGTGTATTAGTGCATAGATACATGCATCTAGTATCAAAAATGTACTAATACATTAATCAATGTGTCCATGCATACACAAAGAGCCAGGGTCAGAGAGCGGAAAGAGAGAAGAAATAGGGGGAGAGAGAAGAAACGGGGGAGAAAGTGAGAGAAAAAAGGAGAGAGGTAGGAGGAGAGGGAGATAGGAAGATGATGAGAAATGAGTGATTATGTAATTAGTTTAGAGTATATGTAATTATTTTAAAATATAGGGAGATTTAGTAGATATGGTCGGAATGTTTGTATAATTAAGTAGGTTTCCCTAAAGTTTTTAACTCAACTAAATTCAGCTCAACTCTTCCATTGTCATCTATAAAAAATATGATGACACTAGCCAAACATAAATAGATATTTAAAAAACTACAATTTTCAAGAGAAAAAAATAATTTTAAAAACAAGCAATAGGTTATATCATGCCTATTGATATGAATTCATTTGTTTTGAATGAATGCATGTCCATAGCAAGTTTTGGATGATTTTATATTGATAATAATAAGGTTTGTTCTCATAAGAAGTTTTTGTAATTTTTTGTAGTAAGTATTTATTCTTGTAAATAAGAGTTTTCATGACCCACTTAATACACTTGAAAAAGAAGAAATATCTCTCTACAAGTTTCTTGTCTAGTTCTCTTCCTTTGCTTTATTTTATGGTAATTTTTTACATGTTATTAACCCGAGGCTCTAATTAAATACTTATATTTGCTAAGCTAAGTCATGTTAATGTATGTTCTTGTCACGATTTAAAAAATATACGGGATAGCACTCGTTTGCGGAAAGTAAGACAATAATAACATAACATCGGAAACCTTAGTCATTTTAATATGACCCAAAGCCTAATTTTCACGTGTATAAACCACTAGTATAATATACAAATTTGAAAGATAATACAAGTCTTAATGTCTTTGTTTCTCGAATAGAACAAAACATAAGGTAAGGAACAAGAGGACCCACCAGGATGACAAGCAACTACCTCTCAATGTATCCTCAGAAAGCCTAAGAAATAGATGAAAGGAAAAGGTCACACGGGACTGGTGAAACGACCCCAAAAATGCCCGAAAATGTGCTTCGGAAACACCTATAATTGTAATTTCCATATATCTCAAAATACGTGCATGATTTCGGAAATTTGACTTCATATTCTTATTCAGGGGGTCAAATTGAGTGGGAAATGGGTCTAACCCGAATTTTAGAGCAACCGTATCAAAATTCGAAAATCGCAAAAAATGTGATTTGGAGGGTCAACTTTAAAGGGGCATATCTATTAGCACACAAGGAACTGGAAGGGCCACAACCTATTAAATTAAAGATCTTTTAGTTAGCTTTCCAACGCACTTGGTTTCACCTCATTCCGAGTTAGGATGAGGGAGTTATGACCATTTTCGTAAAACCTATCTGTGCAGATTTGCAATTTCCAGTGAGCTTTTTTTTCTAGACGGGTTGGGGACGTTTTTAATAAATGTCCCATACTTAGTAAAAAATTTTAACTTCAAAAACACTCTCTAAGCCCTCTCCAAAATTCCACCAAGATCTTCAACCAAATTCAAACATCTCAAGCTCTAATTCCGGATTCAAGACTCAATCTCAAGCTTCAATTCTCCATTCCAATCTTCATCAAGGATTCTCCAAAGTTGAGGTATGTGGGTTTGATTGTGGAAACCTTCCTTTCCACAAGTCCAACCATTTATCCTCTATTTTTACTTCAAGTTTATGGGTCCTTATGGTTATTTATGAACTTTTGAAGTATGGAATTACTACTACACACCCTATTATGGTCTATTTTGCATATTATCATGAAATTGAATTATTATGTGATGTTTATGGTTTTCATGCTTCCATGATCAAATTATGAAGGTTGATTTATATATATGTATGTTGTTGGTGGGCTGATTTATATGGATTTTGGAATTGGTTGGACTTAGTACTCTTGAAATACATGATTTTATTTACATGAACAATAGCCCACCATGTGTTTGATAAAATGCCTACTTATAGAATTCTTAGGAAATGGAAGGTCCAATGTACGTCCTATGAGTCGGATGGTCATATAATCATTGAAATAATGATGAAATGGATACATGTATATGATTTTCTCTATATAAGTGTTGTGAGTTGACCAA